GCTCAATGACACGCTCAACTAGAGTTGCTCTTCGTGCCTCCCGCGGGGCGAGCACAATGCCCCTCACAAAACTCTTCTCTGGAGCACCGCACAAGTTTTTTGCGGGCTTCGACAGAGACCACCACCAAGCCATCTAGGAGGTGGCAACCTCCAAGAGTAACAAGCACCACCGGCTTGCAACTCGATCACCTAGTGCCACTCGATGCAACCTCACAATGCAATCGCACTAGAATTGCTCTCTCACACAATCGGATGATCACTATCAAGTATGTGTGAGATGGAGGGCTCCCAAGCACTCTCAAGCATGGACACAAAGTCCCCCGAGGTGCTCTGCACCGGCCATGGCCGAGAAACCCTTCTATTTATAGCTCCACGGGCTAAACTAGCCGTTACCCCTTCACTGGGCAAAACTCGGAACGACCGGACGCTCTGGTCGTATCGACCGGACGCAGGACCTCAGTCCGGTCAACGGATGCTCGCCACTGTTCAACCTCAGTCGCTTGATCTCAACGGTCAAGTGATGACCAGACGCAGCTGCTCAAAGTGACCGGACGCAGCAACCCCAGCGTCTGGTCGTTTCCAGTAAGGTACCAGTCGCGACCGGACGTGTCCGGTCAGTCACGATCAGACGTAGCATCAGCGTCCGGTCCTTCTCCAACCTTTCTGCGTCGCCTACATCACCGTTCGTCAGCCTGACCGGACGCACCCTGCCAGCGTCCGATCACTTTTAGCGCCAGCCTCCGGTCGAAGACTGACGCCTGCACGCTCTCTGCCGCCACTGACCGGACGCAGGACATCAGCGTCCGGTCACCATGTGACCAGCGTTCGGTCCACTCTATGAGACCCTGTCTTTTCTGTATAGGGCGCTGGTGGCACCGTCAGACTGTCCGCACTCTACGGGCGGACACTCCACCGGTGAAGTTCCTAACCCTTCTCGCCTCCGTTTCATCGCCGAGTTGATCCACATCAACTCCAACTTCATCTCCTTTATAAATGTGCCAACACCACCAAGTGTGCACCATCATGTGTATGTGTGTTAGCATTTTCACAATCATTTTCCAAAGGATTAGCCACTCAATTTGCCACGCCACTCAATCCTAGCGACGATGTAAAGTTAGATCACTCGAGTGGCACTAGATGACCGATATGCAAACAAATTTGCCCCTCTTGATAGTACGGCCATCTATCCTAAACCCTGTCATCAACTTCTCTACACACTTATGACCGGTGAAATGAAATGCCCTAAGTTATACCTTTACCTTGCGCATTCCATTCCATCTTCTCCAATGTCGATGCAACACATGCACCAACATGATCAACAATGATATGATCCACTTCATATCATCACGTGATCATATTGGTTCATTGATCTTGACTTCACTTGCTTTTCACCGTTGCCTTCGTCCATCGGCGCCAAGTCTTGCTCAAGCTTCACCGCCACGCGGTCCATCGCTCTAAAGCCTCGACTTGCCCTTCACGCTTGCAACCGGTCCATCAAGCCAAGTCTTATCTTGATCTTCTCCACTTTGATCACATGACTCAATGTCATGTCTCATGTGCAATGAGCTCCTTCATCATCACATGTGTGAGCTTTGCAACATCTCCAAGTCATTTTCGCCTTCATGGCATATGTTGCTCACACACATGTACCTGTGAGCTAATCACCTGTGTATCTCACATAAACACAATTAGTCCACCTAGGTTGTCACTCAATTACCAAAACCACACAAGGACCTTTCACCCGCGCTCGCATCAGATCCCGCGCCAGTGAATCACATCTGGTCGCCCGCGACCCATCCCGCACCAGCCACCACGTCTGACCACCCACGACTCAATCCCATCTCGACTGCGCCCCGACGTCAAGCCCGCCGCGCTCCTTCCCCGCCCACGCCTCGCTCCTCCCCCGCCGTGCCGCGCTCCTTCCCCCACCACGCCGCGCTCCTCCCCTCGCTGCGATGCCATCCCCGCCGCGCTCTGTCTTGGTAGCGCCCCTTCCCCCGTCCTAACGTCTCATCTCCTCTGCATCATCCGTCCGACCGTTGCAACATATGCAATTAATATATTCTTGAAACATACCTGTCTAGTCATTGCAACATCCAAATGAAACATATAAAACATGGGTCTAAAACAGCTGAAATATTTGGAACTACATTTGCAACATACGTCTAAAACATATGAAACATGTGGAACATATACTTGAAACATACGTGTGTAGCCATTGCAACATATGCGACATCAGATCCTTTTGCAACATCAAGATGAAACACATGAAACATACAGATAAAACACATGAAACATACAGATGAAACGGGTGAAACATACGGTTGCAAAAGGCTCATTGACACGGAGCTTTACGCCGATGCGGAGTTTGATGCCACAGAGTGAAGCGGAGGTCACCGATGCGAAGCCCATCAGCGGCATGAGCCTCGACAGTAGCCGCAGCAGGCGGATGGGCACGCAACCATGGGTGGACGGCGCTAGTCAGGGTGGGAGGCGCACGACGCAGGGCAAGCGGGCCGGTCCCCGTCCAAAAGGACGGATGCTCTGAGGGTATCATTATTGAACCTAAAACCTTAACCAATAACCTTTCTTGAGCTACCGGATGTCGCTCTGCTCGAATCCTTGGAGACCTTGGCAGCCATGAATTATTTTTTTTTTCTAAAGGAAAAAGAGAGCCAAGTAAGGCGGAGAAAGACAAGACATAGTACAACATGACTTCATAAGAGATACGACCACCACCCATCAACCAAAGTGTGTTAGGATGCGTGCGTGTGGTGTGAGTTGGTGCGTGAGTTCAGATACTACAGCTTGTAATCGAAGGTTGAGGCAATAAAAAAACCACCGGTCAGGCCCACATCCGCGTCACGTGCAAACACGGCCTGAAAGAAGCATTCTCGCTAAATAATTCACAACCTCTTTGTTTTCCCGGTCAATCGTGTGATAAGATAAGATAATTGTGCAACAAAATCATAAGATGAATCAGCATTATTATATACTATATGCCCTGTGTTACTTCGTTTTAACCACAAGCCACAAATTAACTGCATGCTTCTAGAGAACACACAAAACGTTTAAGTTGGCTTGCATCCTTTCCTAGTTTGTTTATTATTACTTGTAGAGAACGAAGTGTGTGTCTGAAGTGTAAAGTGCCCAATACGTTGTGCAAGTGCAAAGATCTGACCGGGTCAGTTCAGCTCAGCTCAGCTCAGCCGTGGAGTGTAAGCTCCTCAACTTAACGGTCCAACAGCATTGAATAATGCTTAGAAGCCGAAGAAAGGGAAACCCATCCCTTCAAAAAATGACACCACAACTAACAACCACGGTGTACACTTTCCATCCCAGTCCTTCCAATGTTCTTGTTTAGCATTATTACAAAAATATGCATGCTCCATCTGTTTCATAACGCCTGGTTCTTTACTTCTTTTAACGTTCAACATTTTTTAATTAAGATTATTAAGAGAATTTTACCGTAAATTACTACGAGTATGTACCATTTAAATGCTTACCATGTCATTCTCAGAATAGGTTACCTCATGTTCTCTTACCTTGATTTTACTACTTTTATTTAAAAAAAATGCAGCAGATGTGTACAAGGAGTGTTTACATATATCATTGTGCTTTAAATTTGGGATAGATTAAAGATGTTGGCAAAAGACGCATCCGTTTCTTTCGTAGAAAATATCTCTTGGATTTAGCAGTTATTGTTTGTATTCACGTTTCACCATGATTAGCTTCCGCACCAGGAGACAATGTTCTATACTTTTATGTTTGTGTGGAATGTTATTGTTTTCGGATAAATTTTAAATCTTAGAAAATTATTTATTTTCAGAGTGAGTATTAAGCAACTTTTTTGATTTTTTTTTACCAAAGACCATTTACCATTTCTGTTCCATTATAATTTCACGTTAAAACAGCAAAATGCTTCTTCATGCGAAAATTTTTATCAGGTCTTTTGGTGAGACTCGTGAAAGAAAGTGAAGCCTTACTGCAGACATGGGCCCTTTTCGCTTGAACTTATCAGCTGTACCGTTTCAGCGAAATAGTAATATTTTTCTCTCACAACAAATCAGCATCGACATCTGCATCGGCTATTTTTCCAACCAGCCGAACAATGCCAAGAAAAGACGTGGTCCTCATGGTTTGTCTACATTAGAACATTAGCTGGTGGTTGACGTTAGTGTGGCCTGGTGGGGAATAAGATTTCCCACTCTCACATGTTTGTTTGAGGAAAGACTTTTTTATATCTTTTTTTTCACTTTCCATTCAAGGGAATAAAAAAACAAAATTTTGTGCGCATCCATTTCATTCCAAGTAAAGGGAGCACAAATGAACTGTTTTTTTCCTTGTAGAATGCAAGAGGTTCATTCAGCATACATACAATTTTAGAATACGAAGAACCACAGGATGATTTTGCACAAAAGTTGTGTGGATTCAGCAAGATTCAGGACTCTCTCTCTCTCTACCAGTCTCTCTCTCTGCTGCGCTGTATCTGTCTGTGAGCCCCCTGCTCCCTCCCTCTCTCTCTCTACAGCACTGCACTGCTTGTCCCTTTCTCTCTCTTAAATCTCATCATCACATCAACCGTTCCTTCCTTGTACTCCCTCCTCCGCTCTCTCATTGCTCGCGTTCGCGGCATCTACTGCTGCTCCTCTTCCTCGCACCGCCCCCCCCCCCGTCGCCGCCGGGCGATCTCTCCGGCCGCCTCCGCTCCGCCGAGATTGATTCGACCCACCGCTCTCACCCGTCTCCGCCCACTGTCCCCGCCGCCGCAGGATTCGCTCGGTTCCTTCAGCCCTCCTGCCGGTGCGCCGCGCCGGCGCCTGCCTACTCACCTGACCAGGCCTTAAAAAAATCCACTTTTTTTTCACGGTCTCCGGTTCGGGTGCCGCCATGCGCCGCGGCGACGGGAGGGACACTGTGATGCCGCGCCCGCCCGCCTGTCGCCGCACGTGAGGTGAGATCTCGCCATCTCGGGGTGGCCATCTCGCGGCGGCGGCGCCATGCCGTCTCTGCAGCTGCTGCAGCTGACGGACCGCGGCCGGGGGCTTCTCGCTTCCAGGAGGTCGGTCGGTTCGGATCACTCACGCACTCGCCAAGTTCCCTCTTTTAACTTTCTCTCGCCGTTCTTGCCAATTGCATTCCTCACCGTCCTCACTTGTGCGCCACCAACCAGGAGGACGCTCGCCGTTGTCTCCGGCGCGGTGCTTGCCGGCGGAGCTCTGGCGTACGCCCGCTCGAGCCAGAGCCGGCGGAGGAGGCGTCTGGAGGCGAATCGCGGCGGCGAAGCTGGTGCATTGGCCGCGAACGGGGACGGGTTGAGCCAGAACGGTGCCGGCGGTGGATTGGCTGCAGGAAAGCAGAAAAGGAGTGGCCTCAAATCTCTGCATTTCCTCGCTGCTATCCTACTCAAGAAGATTGGTCCCAGTGGCACGCGCTACCTTCTCGGCTTGGTATTAACAGCGGTAGGTTCTGCCATTTTTCTCTGAGTAATGTACTTGTTTCAGAGATTTCAACTTTTTTTGGAGCTTTTCGCTCTTACATACTGTACACACAAGTGGTCCCAGTGTTGCTATTGGCCTACTACTGCTATCATATAAAGGAAGCATTAGTGAATTGTACACTGTATTCGTTGTAATTTCTTAACGAGGCAAGGAGTTTAATAATCCTATGCTTATGAAGAAAGTTAGCAAAAAAAATAGTGAAAAAAAAACAGAAACAAACAATTTAAGTCTAGTGCAGTATCATATGTTTCACCGGCTAAATTTTGAAGGCCTAAAAATGTATACTGATGGTTTAATAAAATGATACTACTGTCGCTACAAACTTCAGTTTTTTATTATTGTCATCAAACTACCTTGGGGGGTTTTAAACTGTATTTGAAGCTACTATACTATGATCTAGAAACATTATCCTCACTGCCTTATGCTTTTCTGCAGGTGCTTGCTATTTACAGCTGTGGGGGCATAGATTAGCAAGAGTTCAAGGTTTTTGTTTAAAGCAGCATTTCTTCGGCGCGTCCCAACATTTACACGCTTGATCATAGAAAATCTTATGTTATGTTTCCTCCAATCCACATTGTATCAGACCTCAAAATACTTAACAGGCTCTTTAAGTCTGCGTTTCAAGAAAATTTTAACAGATATCACCCATGCTGATTACTTTGAGGTACATCTGTTGTGGTTTTGCTTTTGCCTCAATTTCATTTTGTCTTCCTTCCTAGCGCACAGTTCTTAATTGCGTCATTTCCTCAGAATGATACCATGAAGAGCATTGTAAAATTAAACTCCAAGAAAAGTTATTTCCTAAGTTTGTATCTACCAGTGCACTAATTTGGTTCTTGTTGGTATTATGTTATAGATAGTGACCATTTATAAGACTACAAGTAACCATTGCAGCAAAGGTTTACATGCGATAAAACACTAAAGCTGTTTATATAGTAGAAAAAAATCCATAAAATACAGCAGGCAGGGGATTCTGTTTCGTCGCCTACTCTTCTGCTAGATGTATTTAAGATGAATTCCATTTCTATGATAGTCAATTACAGTATTAGATTGGTTTTGTGAACAAACGTGCATACTATTTTTTTCCTAACTGGAATCAGCATGCTGTTTGCCAGTAATTTTTGCTCCCACTCTTTATAGTGTCCTCATTTTCTTTATGCTAGTTGAATTTGCCCACCACTATTTTAGTGCGTGCCAGCATTAATTTCTCAGTAAGGCTCTGAAGTTTATGTTGTTTTCAGTCTTAGCAGCTAGATTGTTTCCTTCTCCTACATGTCTTATTATGAGAATGCAGTTGCTTAAACTCATGCTTTCACTTTTAGCACAGTGTGGAGGTTAACTTTTTCATTAATTTAATGGTTCTCCTTTTAAGTATAATCTTAACAAGACATCCTGCACTCTTGTTTGCTACAGAATATGGTTTACTACAAGATCTCACATGTGGATCATCGGATATCAAATCCGGAGCAAAGGATTGCTAGTGATATCCCAAAGTTCTCTTCTGAACTAAGTGAACTTGTACAGGATGATCTGGCTGCAGTTGCAGAAGGGTTAATATACACCTGGCGTCTCTGTTCTTATGCTAGTCCAAAATACGTGTTCTGGATTATGGTAAAATTCTTGTTACAAAATTTCAGCAGTGATACTTCATTCACACATATAATATGGCGATAGCCCATGATACCTCTATCGAAGCTGTTTCGTTAGTGCTTTTATAATGTATCACGACAACAAGTTTCTCGCCCAGTAACTGCTAGGTACTAATAATATGTAAATGCTTTCAGGCATATGTGCTAGTTGCCGGTGGGGTAATAAGGAACTTTTCTCCTGCTTTTGGGAAGCTGAAATCTACGGAACAGCAACTAGAAGGAGACTATCGTCAACTTCATTCACGATTAAGAACACATGCTGAGAGTGTGGCATTTTATGGTGGAGAACAGAGAAGCATCTCATATTATGCAGCGGTTTGAGGCTCTTGTTGAGCACCTGAATCTTGTGCGTCATGAAAACTGGTGGTTTGGCATGATTCAAGATTTCTTTCTGAAGTATTTTGGCGCCACTGTGGCAGTTGTCCTTATTATAGAACCTTTCTTCTCTGGCAACCTTAGACCTGATTCATCTACCCTTGGAAGGGCTGAAATGTTGAGCAATCTTCGATATCACACAAGCGTGATCATTTCACTGTTTCAGTCTCTTGGGATCCTTTCTATCAGCACACGACGTTTAAATATCCTGAGGTACAGTTCTCCACCTATTTTAGAAATTGCTACCCTATAGTTCTGAATTGTTGAAGGTGACACTTTGCTTGAAAAGTTACTGGATTATGCTGCATGTCATCCAATTAAGTTTGATTTTGTTTTGTGCCCATGCAATTGGCAATGTGACACTTCTTGTTCCATTATTTCTGACAAATGCAGACTGAGAATAACTTTATTTCATGGAACCATTTTAGTGCTACAATCCATTTTTTATGAAGAAGGAAGAATCTCACTTCTATTTTTTGTTGTTTGATGGTTTAATATTGTTCCAAGAAGAAGACACATTTTGCCACTTTGTGTAGTGCTTTTACGGAGACTGGAAATCATTAACATCCTCTCCTGATATGTTACCAACCTGCACTTTTAGTTTTCAAATCCTGCCACTTATGACATTATTTTCTATATGATTTGAGTTTGACCTGTTGCACGCTGTGCTGTGTTAGGTGCCTTTTCTACATTCTAGTATATGAGAATTGCCATGTCATTAAAGTTTTGCACTGATGTCCATCACAGATTTATGATTGTTTTGGTAGGAACCATACTTGATTTATGTTTGTTTTGGTAGGAACCATACTTTAGGCATAGTACAGCTGGAGAATGTTGACTGACATGCAAAAGACATTGTAACTTTGATTTTCTTTGGAATACTTTGGTGGAGTCCTGTGCTCCTTCTTTTGTGTTCGGATGCATTTTCTGCTCATCTGCTTTTGAGTTTTAAACTTTGCACCGTCATGATTGTGATGCGTATGGACTTTCAATGTAATTTCACAGTGGCTATGCAGACCGGATTCGTGAGTTATTGGATGTTTCACGTGAGCTGTCTGGGGTTCGTGATAGATCACTGAATCACAATTCTCCTGGAAATTATGTCAGTGAAGCAAACCATATAGAATTTTCAGATGTTAAGGTAATAACATGCCGGTTGAGTCATATTCATTTTTATTTGCTATGTATTTCCTACTTCTGATGTCAAATGGTTGCAGGTAGTCACACCTGCAGGTAATGTTTTGGTTGATGATTTGACTCTCCGGGTAGAAACTGGTTCTAATCTTTTGATCACTGGTAATCTTCTATAAAGCATTCGCTATTCTGAATTTAGACTTGCGACTTAACTATCACTTTGGTTTCTGTGATGAAACTTGAATGTACTTATGGGCTGATATGCAAATTTATGCAACTATGTATCCTTAGCTTGATGTTCATTTCTATTTAACATGTTGTAGACCATTTGGGAATCATCTACAGCTATTTGATTGTGTGATAATGAAGTAGCAATGTTGGATATGATGTGATGGAAGTCTTTACATGTCTTGCACCCTCTTGGAGGATAGTGTTAAAATGTCTTGCGCGTATTCTTTGACCTTAGATTCTTTTTTTATGTCTTGTTACGATCTCAAACTCTCAATATGTATACATCTTTGCACAAAATATCTGTTTGAAAATCTGATGTCCCACTGTGCTAACAATTTTATGGATTTACACTCCTTCCAGGTCCCAATGGTAGCGGAAAAAGCTCCCTTTTTCGGGTCCTTGGGGGTCTATGGCCACTTGTATCTGGCCACATTGTTAAACCTGGTGTTGGTTCAGATCTAAATAAGGAGATCTTTTATGTTCCGCAAAAGACCATACACAGCTGTTGGAACTCTCACGTGAACAGCTAATCTATCCTCTTACGGCAGATCAGGAGATTGAACCACTTACCTATGATGGAATGGTGGACCTTCTAAAGAATGTAATGCTATTCAAGTTGCGTTTTACATTTGATATTGTGGCTTCTTGAACTACAACTTTTGAGTATATGAACCTACTGGAATTTTTAACCATGCTCCTTTTGCAGGTTGACCTGGAATATTTGCTTGAACGCTATCCTCTTGACAAGGAAGTTAACTGGGGTGATGAGCTGTCCCTCGGCGAGCAGCAAAGATTGGGAATGGCCAGGTTATTCTACCATAAGCCAAAGTTTGCCATCCTTGATGAGTGCACTAGTGCCGTGACAACTGATATGGAAGAACGTTTTTGCAAAAAGGTTCGAGCTATGGGTACATCCTGCATAACAATATCTCATCGACCAGCTTTAGTTGCATTTCATGATATTGTTCTATCCTTGGACGGTGAAGGAGGTTGGAATGTCCAGCATAGAAGGTTAAAACTTATAGCCCTTGAGATAAATTGTCAAACGTTTGTTCTTCCAAAATTAATTCACTAGAAATTAGTAACACACCTAATTTTGCAGGGATGACTCATCCTTTTCCACCGAAGAATCTGATTTTTCATCATCAGAAACTGATCGTAAATCTGACGCACTGACTGTTCAAAGGGCTTTTATGAGCAGGGCAAAGGTATATGATTCTGGTCTTCTGAATTTCTGTTCCAATTTCCATCATTATTAACAGCTTTTCTTATGCTGCTGTTTTATGGGGCTTCCTTACCAGAGCAATGCTTCATTGGGGTCCAAGGATCATTCATACTGTACAGAGGTTATAGCAACTTCCCCTAAGGTGGAAATAGAACATGCAGCACGGACATCTCGAATTCCACATTTACGATGTCACTCAAGACCCTTGCCTCTCAGAGTAGCTGCAATGCTAAAAATACTAGTATGTTCTTCTCCTTTGTGCTTCACAATTCCTCTTTAGATTTGTGTTTCCCAATGATTCGTGTTCAGGAAGGGCGGGCCTGGTGCAAGCGGTAGAGTCTTACCGCCTGTGACCGGAAGGTCCCGGGTTCGAGTCGCGGTCTCCTCGCATTGCACAGGCGAGGGTAAGGCTTGCCACTGACACCCTTCCCCAGACCCCGCACAGAGCGGGAGCTCTCTGCACTGGGTACGCCCTTTAATGATTCGTGTTCAGCCTTCACTGTAGAATTCAGATAACTTTGCTTGTTGGTAACAAGTTGCTCTCTGTTTGAACAAAAGCTATATATGCTATAATAATTAATAACCTTTCGAGTATACTAATCAATTAATGTACTACAAACTCAGTAACTATTAGAAAAAAGAAGGTTGCGCAAATAGATCTGATGAAGTACCCTAAACTATCTCTAGGAACTTTGTCCCCTGTGCTGATACAATTTGAAATTCTTATTCTATTCTCATTTACTTTGCTCCCCAGGTTCCTAGACTATTTGATAAACAAGGCGGGCAGTTGCTTGCTGTTGCTGTTCTTGTTTTCTCTCGTACATGGATCTCTGATCGTATTGCTTCGTTGAATGGTTCTTGTTTTAACCCTTTGATATCTTTCATCGTTAGAAAAGCTGCAAGTGTAATTCTCATATGATACTTCAAATCTTACCAGGGACAACTGTGAAGTTTGTCTTGGAACAGGACAAAGCTGCCTTTATTAAGCGCCTGATTGGTGTCAGTATTCTACAAAGTGGTGCAAATTCTTTTGTGGCACCATCTCTTAGGTAATTATGGTTGACTCTATATTAAGAGATTTATCGCTGGGTAATTGTTACACATGGAGGCCACAGGGCTTGTTGCTGCAGCATTAGTGCATGTGGGGCATCAGCCATTTAGCTGCAAGCACCAAGAGACATAGCTTGAAATGCAGCAAGATGGCAGCACCTCCCATAGGAATAGATAAGGGTAGGAAGTTGTTGATTATTTGGATCATTATCACGTTATCTTAATATAAGGAAGTTGCATTATTTGCCATGTATCGGGTTTTGGTGTTAATTGCATGCACATCACCTTGGTTGATTAGTGCATGCATATCAGGTGGTTAGTTACTTAGTTTCCATCTAATTGGGAGTCCTGTGCTTGCATATCAAAGAAATTCTCTAGTCCCTCTTTCTCCAACCAGCCTCAGAATGTTGACTAATGGCATGGGAGAGCCCCCCAGTCAGCTGGCCAATGTGATCACCCTAACTTCGGTCCTTGGACCCATTCCCAATTGTTCACATAACAGTGAGTAATAAATAATCATCGTAGATTTCAAACGAAGCACATGCAGTGTTCTAGTCAGTGACTTGTAATAAATTATCACTGATTCATCACATTTCAGTAAACAAACTATACGATCAAAGTTTTCTTTAGTGGGGAGCATTTAATGTAGGCTTTGAAATACATTTTTGGGGGCATGCAAGTTTAAGCTTGGGGGGATTTAAGGTCACTTCTGTACATGTTTAATTTCCAGGTCTCAAATAATATGTATCTGTGCAGGACCCTTACTGCAAAACTTGCCCTTGGATGGCGAATTCGCATGACCAATCATTTGCTTCGATATTACTTGAAAAGAAATGCATTCTACAAGGTATATCCTCAAGCAAAAAAACGCAAACACATTATTGCTTTATTTTCCTTTTTTGGTTAATCTGCCATACATTATTGCTTCTCTATATACTAGTTATGGTACCAAAATACTCTGTAGGTGGTGTGGCAGCTGTTCTGATATTCATTTTGATACGCCATTTATTTATCTACACAGTCTGTACTAGTGGAGAGTTGGAGACTATTTTGTTCAGAATGAAATGCTGGGGTTGTTAGGCATGCTTATTTGATCAAACTAGCCTACTGAGTAATTGTACGGGTATGGCTTACGGAGCCAGCAGTTTGAAATTTGACTCTTGGGTTTTCAATGGCAAGGTAGCCAAGTGCTTGAGATTTCTACTGAAATGTACCCAGTATTGAAAAGTACACATTTAAGAAGTGCTCCTTTTGGCTAAACAATAAATAGAAATACTCCAAATTTGGAAACTGTACCTTCTCAAAATGCTTTAGAAGTTGTAATATGAATGCTCCACTCTGCATTATGGGATAAGATGCTTGTGGCTCCAGCACTCCAGCAGGCACATCAACGTTGTGTTGGCCCACGCTGGAAAAAGTAGGGTGTAGGTAACTGGAGGAAAAAAGATGGCAGGGAAATATGTCTGACAGTTTGATCTGGGACTTGACCCCATGTCCTGATTCCAATGCATTTATTTGTTCCTACTATGTAAAAATGAAGATACTGGGAGATGGCCAAACCATCAAGCTGTCTTATGGTGGCATTAGTCGTTGGCTAGTTGCCAAAGGTGACAACTGCGTTAGGGTTGGGATGGACAGGAAGAAAGAAGTAACAAGCCTTGAGAAAGTTGCATGACACTTCTAGGAGCAAAGATAACCTTTCTTTTGTTGGCCTCTAATATTCAGTGTACATTATGCAACCAGAACACGAGTATATTCTGTCAAATTACATCGCTTTATTGTTATTGGGACTGAGTTTTGGTCAAATGATATTTTGGTGTTTTTCCTAAATGTGTCCATGCCTAGTATTATCTTGTTGTGCTGGGGTTCTGGCTGTGAGAATAAGATTGCATATCACACGACAGTAATACTGTGGGTGACTGAAGCTAATAAGTTATAATGGTGTATGATTTCAGGTATTCAACATGTCAGGTAAAAGTATTGATGCAGACCAAAGATTAACACTTGATGTAGACAAGTTGACCACTGACCTTGCCGGCCTAGTTACTGGAATGGTAAAACCGCTAGTTGACATTCTTTGGTGAGTTATCCTTGTTCCTACTGCTAATCATGAACTTGGTTTGAGTTTCGGTTAGAATCCTAGAATTCATTGTGCTAATTGCAGCTGAATTTCACCAGGTTTACATGGAGAATGAAGCTCTTATCTGGACGAAGAGGAGTTGCTATACTGTATGCTTACATGTTACTGGGTTTGGGCTTTCTGAGAGCTATATCCCCTGACTTTGGTCGTCTCTCAGGCCAAGAACAAGAACTTGAAGGAACATTCAGGTAAAATACTGCATATGTTGTTGCGTCTTAGTAGAGCTTTTCATGCCATTTAAAGATTCTAGATGTTAATCTGGTGAACTTTTATAAGGTTCATGCACTCGAGACTGCGGACACATGCTGAATCAATTGCTTTCTTTGGTGGTGGTTCAAGAGAAAAGGCGGTGAGTTCCATCATGCTAAATGGATAATGCCCAAGTTCATACAATGAGAATTGTTTAGGAAAAAGTCCAAATTACTCCCCTCAAGTTTGGCCTATGTCCAGTTAACCCTCTAAACCAATGTTTGGTTTGATTTGCTCCCCAACCATTTAAGTTGGTCCAATTTACCACCTAACAAGATTTTTTATTTTGTTTCTCTGCGTACTAGTTGAGCCTGATTTGCGAGATGAGAGATGACATCATAATTTATGTATTAAAAAAATATATCATAATTTTTTCATCATTATTTTGATAGGTTAGGACATTTAATAATAAATTAACACTAGAGATACAAAATTGTAAGAAACATAATGATAAAAAAATCGTAAAATAATTTTTAACATAAATATGATGACCATTAACGTCTCACAAAAATTGACGTTAAAACTTAACTTGTACGTGGAGAAACAAAAAAGATAATTCTTGTTAAGGGGTAAACTGGACAAACTGAAAATAGCTGAGGAGTAAATGCCGCGGGGGGGGGGGTGGCCATAATGTGGACCATGACAAGGCTCTTTCCTCTCATACATGTATAACAGCAATTCCATTTTCTGATGCATCTCTATGGTACTTGCAGAGATCATTTATTGTTTTCAAAACTGTTATTGTGTTTCCTAAATTTTCCATTGTATTTTCAGTTCAATGCACATGTTATGTTTACAGTTTCCATGTTAAAGATTTTTTCCCCCAATAGCTTCTGCTACCTTTATTTTGTTAAATGAGATGACCTTAACTTTTCTGCTTGTTATCTATTCTTCTCATATTTCAGATGGTTGAGGCTAAATTCGTCAAGTTAATTAACCACTCAAAGATTCTTTTGAGGAAACAGTGGCTTTATGGTATTGTTGATGATTTTGTAACAAAGCAACTTCCGCACAATGTAACGTGGGGTCTGAGTCTGTTGTATGCTTTGGAGCACAAGGGAGACAGAGCTTTAACCTCAACTCAAGGTTACTAATCTTCAAAACTCTTACCATTTTTCCAAACTATATTAGTTCCCATCTTATAAACATCCTGAAATGCATTTTTCTTTTGCTTCTCGTGCAACAGGAGAGTTGGCACATGCCCTGCGGTTCTTGGCTTCAGTGGTGTCACAGAGCTTCATAGCCTTCGGCGACATTCTTGAGTTACATAAGAAGTTCCTTGAACTTTCTGGTGGGATTAACCGGATCTTTGAGCTTGAGGAGTTTACACGCTTCGCTCAAAGAAGTAAGTTCAGTTTGCTAGGACTTAATAGACAATAGCAATAAGCAATCATGTTAAATTCTCTAATTTCAATATTTTTCATTAATGATTATATAGTTGGTTTGTCATGTGTGCATATTAGTCTAACACTAAACATAATATATTAGGGTAGTAAGTATTCCTGTTGTTGCTGACATGTCAGGTTGCCGCAATGTTTGCTCTAAAAACTCTACTGGCATTTTTGTACAGAATGTTTATTATGGTTGAGCTTGTCACCTCCTAGGAGTTTTCTACATGTTCGCTATAAGAAAATATTCTTATAGCAGGTTTTTTACCTTTTCATCATGCCAAGTTTAATAGTAATGCTGCATAGCAATGGGCTGAAAACCGTGCAGTGTTCTTAAGGTTTTGTCAGCTGTTGTGGGTTTGTTTCAATGCTAGGAACTGGCAGAAAAGTTAATAATTGCATTTCAACCACCCTGAGAAAACTAAAAATGATATGGCCATTAGTTAAGTTTTTGCAACCTCTTCTTACTTCCTAGATGAGGTAATGGTTGCCTTATATGGGCTTTCTTCCCCCTTTTCTCTCTCTTTAATATAAAGATACACAACTCTCCTGCATGTTTGAGAAAAAAGTTTTTTTATTCTGAACTTGCTTTTGAAATCAATGTTCGCCCAGATACTGCGGTGTCTACCAATGCCATCAGTGTAGCCTCAGAAGAAATTATTTCATTTCATGAAGTGGACATTGTAACACCATCACAGAAGCTATTGGCTAGAAAACTCTCGTGCAATGTGGTACAAGGGAAAAGCCTTCTTCTGACTGGTATTCAGTCTTTGTGCAGGCAACCTTTTTTTTATCTTCTGCTCAGCAGTGAGCTTATATTGTCATGATTCATTTTTTGTTTTGCTGAAGGTCCCAATGGTAGTGGAAAGAGTTCTATTTTTAGAGTGCTCAGGGATCTGTGGCCCACCTTCTCTGGGAGAGTTACCAAGCCCTCAGAAGGGATGTTTCATGTTCCTCAACGGCCATATACCAGCCTGGGTACTCTGCGGGATCAGATCATATACCCTCTCTCAATGGAGGAAGCGAAGATAAAAGTTCTTTCATTACATAGATCTGGTAGGCCCACCTCTTGAAATAGCTCTGTTGAATTAGTAAGAACCTTGTATTATGATTAGCTAGGAGCATGCCAGTTGATTGGAAGTAATAAGTTATATTGTTGCTTGTCCTGGTAACGGGAAAACTGTGGTAATATAGGTAGCAATTCTAGTGCCTCTGTACTGCTGGATGATCATCTGAAGACAATTCTAGAGAATGTCCGGCTGCTGTATCTTCTAGAAAGAGAAGGGTGGGATTCTACACCAAACTGGGAAGATGTTCTGTCGTTAGGAGAACAACAGAGGCTTGGGATGGTCAGTATTAACTGGCAGACCACCTTTATTTGTTCCTTTTTCATTTTCTTCGCTATTGAGTTAATTGAAAGTCGCTCTCTTCCTTTTGTCAGGCTCGTTTGTTTTTCCATCATCCTAAGTTTGGTATCCTCGACGAGTGCACCAAGTACGTGTTCTGTCACAATGCTCTTTTGGTTTCTTTCATTTCCTTTTCTCTTTCCTTATCAAATACTGTGGGTCCTAAATTTGTACTTGATTGCAGTGCTACGAGTGTTGATGTTGAAGAGCATCTGTACAGACTTGCAACTAGCATGGGCATAACTGTGATCACTTCCTCACAAGTAAGCATTTGGACAATCCCTGCGATAAAATTTCTGATGGTGGTGAACCGTCAAAAAAAAAAAGATGCTGAATTTGTTGTCAATTAATTGACAACTTGCTTTCCAAAATGAATTGGTCGTGTTGCTGAAACTTTTGTCCAATTACAGAGGCCTGCTTTGATACCCTTCCATGCCTTGGAGCTGAAGCTCATTGACGGCGAAGGGAACTGGGAGCTATGTGCGATCCAGCAGTGAATGATAGTACCCATTAGGAGTTGATGCCATCAAATGCACTGTCAGCTGCATGTACAAAAGCAAGCAGCTAGCCCATTGCCATTGTGTATAGACAATGTTGGAAGATGCTATATATATCCTTGTCAGAATCTGCCACACGTTTAGCAGCAAAGCATTGTTAGTGAAGTGAGGGGGCATGTGATTGTGAGCCATGGTATGTGGTAGGGGTTCGCTTTGAGGCGTTTTGGACTTGAGTTCCTATAGTAGCTGGATAGCAGAGCAGAAGGGTTGTGAGTTAGTAGAAGCTGTACCTATTGGTTCATTACATTATATTGATCCTGTGTAGTAGATGTATATGACAGGCAAGGCAATAAATAAATATAATGTGGAATTGTGGATGCTACTGCTCTTCATTCTGATGAATTTGTGCTATCGGTTGGGCATGTCGGTCTTGTGATGTATATATGCATGTCGATATGACAGGCCATCAGAAATTGAATCAGGTGTGGTTGGGAAATTGTTCAACGTTAAGCTGCATGCAGCGTAGAGGCTGTATATCTGCATGTAAATGACAAATTGACAATAATTTGTTACAATGCTATTTGAGCTCTTATTAGTTTCGTTAGAAAAAAAACATATCTGTTTTTTTTAACAAACCAAGCGGTAAAGCTCTATTGATCAAGAATTGTTACATCGTTTGATAGAAGATCAACAATAAAGCTAGGGGGATCATCGTCCTAAATACAATCATTTTTCGAAAGCATAGCCCGCCTTGCCAGTTCATGAGCCACTTGGTTTGTTTCCCTTCTGCAGTGCTCTATGGAAATCTCCTGGAATCCTAACCAGATAGTTTGACATTCATCATATATGGCTGCTCCTGAATTAGCTGTGAATCCTCCGTCACCCATAATGTCAACCACTTCCATGCAATCAGATTGGACGATTATCCGGTTGCAGCCAACATGTTGAACTAACATCAACCCTTCCTTTAGAACATATGCTTCGGCCATTGGTGCGTCAACCACATGAGCAATAAAATTGTTTGACGCCACCACCATTCCGCCTGAGCTATCTTTGATGATGGCACCCATACTTCCGCATCCCATATCCTCATCAAAAGAAGCATCAACATTTAACATCACCACATCTTCCGGTGGTTTTCGCCAACCTTGTCTAACTGTGACACCCTTTTTTTTGCAGCCAATTTATAATTTTTTGTGAGAGTACCAATAGAGAGGCCAGACCTTGATGGTCGTTGGGTGCTTTCCCCATGCACCCGCTGCCTTCTTTCCCACCAGAGATACCAGCCTCCTGTCAAGATTAGCTCTGGAAATCCAACTCCCAGTGATTGAATTTGCTCTCCTCTTCTAATGCTTTCTTCTAGAATGATGGATCCCGAGCGATCGGTACCAAGTTTGTTCTATCTTCTCCCACATTCCTAGCGATCTCCAGACTACTCTTGCTCGATCACATGTGAAAAATATATGCCTGATATCTTCCGCGCCGTTCTAACAGACCGGACAACCAGACACGTTGGAGATGTGTCTGTTGGCCAGAATAGCTCGGCATGGAATCAACCCAAGCAGTGCTCGCCAACCAAATATTTTGATCTTCCCCGGCACGTCCAGCTTCCACAGGCGTTTCCAAACTTCAGTGCTGCTCACACCGCCCCCTTGGAGGGCCACCATTCGCTGCCCAAACCTCCTTTTCCATTCACCATGATAAGCGGATTTAACCGAGAAGATGCCATTTCTATTGTAGTGCCAGGCAACAAAATCTTCCCTCCCTGGTGTGACTGGAATTTACAGAATCCGGTTTACATCCACATTCCAGAAAATAGATTTTACCAGCTCAACATCCCATGTTGAATCAATAGGATTGATGAGTTCATCAACTGTTGTAATAATATTATTACCTTTGGGCGTTAAGATCTTCACATTATGACTTCCTGGAATCCAATTATCCTCCCATATATTAATTTGTGTGCCATCTCCAACTCTCCAAATATATCCTTGCTTGAAACACTCAAGTCCCGTCAGAATACTTTGCCATGTATAAGAGCAACCGCTTTTCATCTTGGCTTTCAGAAGTTTGCCATCAGGATAGTAGCGCGCCCTAAGAACTCTCGCACATAGAGAGTCAGGTTCACTAAGAAGTCTCCAAACTTGCTTTGCTAACATAGCAGAGTTGAAGGATTGTAGATCTCTGAACTCCATTCCTCCTTTTTCTTTCGGCATGCACAACCATTGTTGCCAATGAATCCTTTTCTGATCATTGCCATTACCCCACCAGAACTGCCAAATAGCGCTTGTTATTTCTTTGCATATGTTTTTAGGAATTTTAAACACCATCATCGCAAATACCGGCACAGCTTGAGCAATAGATTTTATAAGGATCTCTTTACCACCCATGCTTAGAATTTTCTCCTTCCAGCCATTTATTCTCATAGCAACCCTGTCAATTAAGTGACGAAAGCAATCACTTCGGTCTGCTCCCACCAAAGCCGGCAGCCCCAAATACTTGTCGCTTAGAGGTTCAGTCATGATATTCAAAGTTTCACATACCTCCGCCTTTACATCAGTATCTGTGTTGCTAGAAAAGAATATACTAGACTTCGCCTCACTGATTTTGTCCCGAGCTGGCACAATATTTATTCAGAATATCCATGAGACAATCTACGTTTTTCTTATCTGCGTGCATAAGTACGAGGGAATCATCTGCAAATAGGAGATGAGAAATAACTGGTGCTCCCCTGCATACTTTGATGCCCTCCAACTCCCCTCTCCTTGGCTCCCCTCAGCATACATGAGAGCCCTTCAGCTACTAATAAGAACAGATATGGTGACAATGGGTCACCCTGACGTAGCCCCCTTGTTGGTAAAAAAGTTTCTGTTTCAATAGAATTGAATCAAACTTTGTAACTCACCGAGATGACATATTGAAAGCTCTAGTTTGGTTTTGGTGAATTGATAAAACCCTAAGTGCTAACCTAGTTTATCAAAATAATTATGAGATAGGTGGCACATTCCAAGTGGTGGAGCAAATGAAGATCATGACATGATGATGGTGATGCCATGGTGATGATCAAGTGCTTGGACTTGAAAAGAAGAAAGAGAAAACAAAAGGCTCAAGGTAAAGGTATAAGTGGCAGGAGCCATTTCGTTTCGGTGATCAAGACACTTAGCTAGTGTGATCATATTTAGATTCGATAGCCGTACTATTAAGAGGGGTGAAACTTGTATCGAAATACGGTTATCAAAGTGCCACTAGATGCTCTAACTCATTGCATATGCATTTAGGATCTAGTGGAGTGCTAACACCCTTGAAAATGTTTGTGAAAATATGCTAACACACATGCACAAAGGTAATACACATTGTGTTTAGCACTTGGGAGCAAGGGTTCGAAACTTCACCGGCGCCCTGTATAGAAAAGACTGGGTTTTACAGAGTGCACCGGACGCTAGTCACGTGGTGACCAGACTCTGGGGAGCAGCGTCCGGTCAATTATAAAAGAAGGTGGTACTCTCGGCCTGAGACCGGACGCAGGTGACTGAACTCTAGCTGAACACTGTTCAGCGTTCGGTCCTGCTGGTGTGGCGGCGCACAGAGAAGAAGGTGAGTGATCGAACGCTGGGCGAGTCCGATCGGTCGTGAGTCGTGACCAGACATGTTCGGTCGCGACTAGAACCTTACTGGAAGTGACCGGACATTTGGGTCCTGCGTCCGGTCGTGATCAATCTGACGCATCTGGTTGTGAATGGAACCTCTCTGGAAACAACCGGACTCGGCAAAGGTGCGTCCGGTCTTGACACTGTGCTGCGTCCGGTCATCACTTAACCGTTGAGATCGGGCGCTCAACATTTGAAGCAGGGGACATGTGGCGAAAATCTGAGGACCGGACGCTGGGTCCTGCGTTCGGTCAATACGATCGGCGTGTCCGGTCGCCCCATTTTTCAGTGAACAAAGAGCCAACGGCTCTATTCATGGGGGCTCTCTATTTAAGCCGCATAGCCGGCTCAAGCTCACTCTCTTGGCTATTTGCATTGATATATCAACCTTGTGACCTTAGCCAAAACCCTCCTGTAACAACCAAGAAATCCACACACCAAAAATCACAACTACAATTTTTTTTTCTTAAAACTCCCATGTGATGATGAGTGACATTGTAGGAGCCAACCCTAAGAGTTGCATTAGAAGTAACCCAACCTAAGTCAACACATAAGCATGGCATATCATTTGATGATTATGATTATTAAATTTCCAACAAATAACATGTTGCATACATTGTTAATTCAAGTTGTGAATCGGAATTCCATTTGCTTTATGTTATGCCTAACAATTCCATTAAAATAATAAATCATAAAGTTATTATTAAACAAAATTCTCTAAACTCCAATAAATAATTTACCTCAGTTTTGAATTCAAATTTCAAACCAAATTTGAATTCAAACAAATGGAAAAGAAATGAAAAATAGAAAAGGAAGAAGAGAAGAAGGCCTCCCACCCATTGCTTTCGGCCCAACCATACGACCGATGCAAGCCCGACCACCCACCGGCCAGCCCGCCACCTTAACGCTGCGCAGCCCGCCCGCTTCGCTCACGGCTCATGCCCAAACTTATGGCCCAGCAGTACCATACAGCGCCCCGTCGGCCTACGCTGTGGTCGGTCGCCACCACCTTGGCCTCAAGCGTGTCGACCAGACGTTGCCCATGCCCATGCGTCTCCCCATCTCCGCCTGCAGCCGCTGCCTGCTGGACCCCGCACGTCAGCGCTACTGTGCTTCTTCCCCACGCCACGCTCAAACCACCACACGACAGAGCCCCGACAACGGTGGTAGAGCGGGCCAGGGGTCATGCCCGGGGCATGGTCCTGTCTCCCCCTTGGCGCCGCGCCCACGCAACCCCTCGTGACCGTAGGATGCAAGCAAGCGCCGCGATTGCCCTTGATCCTCGTCCGCCGATCACCGAGCTCCATGGCCGAAGCTTGGCTATAAAGGCCATGGTCCTCGAGAGCCCTAAGC